GGTTCTCCTACTACATCGCCTACGGTGCCAGGATCTTCACCATTCCTGGGTGCCTGCTATACAAAAATCCTTACATATCGCGAGTACCCAACTCCCCTCGCAACACTGTTCCAAATCTGGGGAGTAGATCTCCGGCTGGTGCTTTGGTACTAGCATGTGCAATCGTTTCTCAATCGGAAAGACGTCCTAATCGGTAAAAATAGAAGTCAAAATCTTGTATATCCACAAACACTATTCGGGTTCCAAAGTCCAGCACTAGGGTTGCGGCTACGACACGCTGTGTCCTCTGCGGTAGGGTAATCTTTCCCACCCCTACACGGATAAATTCCAAAAGAACACCACGAAATATCAATATATCTAAAAAAAATGAAATAAAATTCGAATGAAATAAAATCCGCCAACGGCCTCCCGTTACACTATTATGAATAATTGTTTGATAGTTTAGCGTGAGGTTGACATATATCTCTTTAAACGATTCCAATGATTATCTAACGACACCGAAGATATTTCGTAATTGTTCCATTAGATGGTGTCAAATAAAAAATTAATTTTCTTTTATGCTTAGTTTGTTATTCATAAGTTTTTCTTTTTCTTCTACTAAATAGAGATTTGAACTCACTTTTTTTTCATGTATCTCTGTTTGGATGGATTTAGTAAAATATGTGGTGAAATTAGTAAAATGTTATGGTAATACAAATTAATTCATATTATTATTATTAGAATAGACATAGAATACGTTGGGGTAAGAAGAGGATGGGAGGTAAGAAAAGGAGAATGAACCTACTGCAGATCAAAATATATATTTTATTTTATAGCATATGTTAAATAGACATTTTAATAGGTTTGAATGAGTAGGCTAAGCCGTTCTTTAACCGTAAGGATAGATAAAGTGACACAAATGACGGTGCATTCTAGTATAAAATAACGCCCAGAACATGAGACAATTCTGTTTCTATGGAAACGATCGCGAAGGCAAAACCTAAGCTTGCTATTTTTGACGTCTCTAAATTAAATTCAGAATTGAATCAGAAGCTTTACAATGGTTTATATGGCTTCTGCTATAAAATAAAGTTTTGTATTATACACGACGATAAAGGGAAATTAACCATCTCGTGAAAGTTAATTCGCAGCCACTCGTGAATTAACATCTTTCACTCAATGGTTAAAATTTTCCTTTATCGTTTTGTATAATAAATAACTATTATTAAAAAAAATCTCCGATATTATTTAGTCCACTGCTTGAAAAACAAGTAAAAATAATTTGTTTGGAGTACATTCTTTATAGATAAGATATGTTGCAGACAAATATGTTACATAAACATTAAGCAATGATAATGAAACGACACATAAAGCAAAATGTATATCGTTTTATATATCTACATAGGACTCTACTTGGTAACAGGAAGTTCCATTGCAGTGTTTTACTCCGATACTCTGATTTCTTGATTTTTGTTATTTAGTTACTTTATATCTATGCGGAGTAGGAAACACACATGATATCAAATTATGTATAAACTGCTTCTGTCGGAAAGACGGTACTAATGAGTACCAACTTATGAAGAAACTTAAGGTTTCCGTGCTATTGGTTACGCAAAACCTACGCATATTCCCAGGAGAAGAAATAAACGCTTATAAATTCGTTGATGCCTGCAAAGCTAGTACAAATAGGTGCGAGAGTCAAATGTGGAACGTGGGAACAACACGATGTGATTAACATATCTGCGCTAAATTTCGAACGAAAAATCTAGGTCTAGTCCAACCAAGGACCATATTTAGGGTCAAAAGATCACCTAAGTTCTCGAAAGACTTTCAATTATTTGTAGAGCCGCATATGGCGTCAGTATGTATCTGTTATCAAATATTTGCTCTTACTGTAGCATACATTAGTACAATAAACGGAAAATGTAGACTTCAGTCAACTGTGGTTTATCAACTAAGGCAAAGTGTACTTTTTCCATGCTTGAAACGCCATGAAATCGACCGTTATATTCTTTACGCTGTTTCTGATCCAAGTAAGTAGTTGGCACGTTAATAGGCACACACGGTAATCTTTTTAAGGATATTTCAGCCAATTGTGAAGGAGAGCTTAGAGAAGTTGCAGAAAACGACTGTAAGCGTATTACTTACTCAAATTATGAATTACTAGACGAGGTTACCGGATTACATACTAAATACGAGGGTATAATGAAGGAGATGCACAACGGCATTATACAAATGCTCAATAGTGAGAAACCGAACGCAGATGGACAATATAAGAATAAGAAATGTTTCGTGGACCTGATAGGACGTACAGTTTCGGCTTCCTCGCAATTTGGAATCACTTTGATGGAAATTGAAAAGAGATTGAATTTAAAATACATTGAAGTTTTCTCGTTTTTGGAGGATGGTTTTGATGGAATTAAAAAGTGTTCGACTGAGGCGGATGAAGACTGGTCATGTGATCAGATAACTAAGTGCTGCGTTGACGTCATACAAACACTGCAAAGCTCCCCCAAAGGTTTAACGCATGAAGCGGTTGACAGCAGTTTGAAGCAATACATTGTAGATTACGAAACCGAATTTGGTTCTCTTATTCAACCAGAATACGAGCAATTGTATTTGGATTTAGATATATGTATGAATGAACCATCGTCAACTACAGTTGATGAATAAAATCAAATTCAACATTCCACCTTCAGCTGATGCAGTAGGGGGTCTTATGGACTAAATGCCTCTCTTACTAATTTGCGTCATTCTTCAATAACGCTATCCTTGTTTGTCGCCGTAATGATGCCAAACTGGCATTGTCACGTTTGGCATGCAGGCATTGTAAGTCCATAAGCACCATACTATATCTGGAGGTGCGAACGCGCAATAGTATTTAATTAATTTCACGTTAATTTTGTAGTAGTCTGTCGTATGAAGTAAAGCATCTACTTAATTGCCACTGTCAGTGTCACCTTAAAGATCCGTAAAGTGAGCACGATCAATGGAATGCCTAACGATAGGACCGGCGTCAATCGTTAGTGCTTGTTTAGTGCCTGTGGGTGCTTCATACCTTGCATGAGTCTGACCAGCCGTTTTCGAGGAAACGACACCCCCTAGGAGAGTGCTGACTTCCTAAACTTGTTCGAAGCATTAACGACTGAACCGACGGCGATCGTTAGTGCCTCTTAGTGCTTCATATCTTGCATCAGCTCGAGCAGACGTTGTCGAGAAAACGACACTCCCTAAGAAAGTGCTGGCTTCCAACCCTTGTTGGAAGCACTAACGACATAAACCGACTGCGATCGTTAGTGCTTCGTTAATGCCTCTTAGTACTTCATACCTTGTATCAGCCGTTTATGCGTTTTTCAAAACAACGTGCCAGACAAGGATGAGGATACCTACCACAGCCCACATTAGGCGGCATGCGATTTTGGTTATCGATGACCTTCCAGTTACAGAGTTATACGTGCCACCCTTATAACATGCGGGAAAGCAGCAATTTTACAACGTTTGATAAATAACTTTCATGTTTGCGCACGTTCTAGTTACGGCTTTCAATCAGATTTAACATGGTCCTCCCACCAGCTGTACTCCGCACGGATCAGCTATATAATCCTAATCTGTGTTACGAACGTCAGGGAAGGAGTTTCAACACCGGCCTCACTACGAATAAGCGCCTCATTGGTCGAAATGCCAGGCCCCCGACGGCGAACTGTTTTTAAACAGCCATCATACATATTTTTTATTTTTTATTTATTTTTAACTTTATTGTACTCTTGCAAGTTGTAAAATGTAGTTTTGTGCTCTGAAATTGGAAAGGTTATGTCTTTCTGTTGAGTAAATAAAGGATTATTATTATGGTCAGTGTATCTAGTGAGAACTCAGGTCTAGCCTGGTTAACTAATCGCACGGATAAAATCAAGTAACAATTAGTGTCTGTGTCTGGTGAAGTTATGTAGGGTCCTTAAAAAAAAAAAAAAAAAAAAAAAAAAAGGAAAGAGGAAAACAAAACAAAACAAAAAAAATCATTATAATAATTCCTGTAATTTTATAAAATGGAGTTTATTGTGTAAATGTTTCTTTGGCTTTGCGTTTGGGTTGAATACGAGTGGGTTGTGATAACGTGGTGTGTTTCTGTGAAGAAGGAGTTTTGTGTTTTTTATTTGTATTTATGGTGTTTCTTTGTTCCTGAGGTCGTATTTGTGAGGTTGTTTGGGTTTTTGGTGGAGATATTGCAGTATTTTGTGAGCCTGTGATGCTGTTAAGGTTTTTGAGCTTCGGTTGTATACGAGTGGGTTGTTTCTGAGAAGAAGGAGTATTGTGTTTTTTAAGTGTGCTAGGGCGTGTAACTTTATTGGATGGACCTGTCTTTGTAGTGCATGTTGCGTTACTTGTATTTATGGTGTTTCTTTGTTCTTGAGGTTGTATTTGTGAGGTTGCTTGGGTTATTGATGGAGATATTACAGTATTTTGTGAGCTAGTAGTGCTGTATAGGTTTTTGCGTTTGGGTTGAATACGAGTGGGTTGTGATAAAGTGGTGTGCTTCGGTGAAGAAGGAATTATGTGTTTTTTAACTCTGCTAGCGCGTGTAACTTTATTGGGTGGACCTGTCTTTGTAGTGCATGTTGCGTTACTTGTATTTATGGTGTTTCTTTGTTCTTGAGGTTGTATTTGTGAGGTTGCTTGGGTTTTTGGTGGAGATATTACAGTATTTTGTGAGCTAGTAGTGCTGTTTAGATTTTTGCGCTTCGGTTGAATACGAGTGGGTTGTTTCTGAGAAGTAAAAGTATTGTGTTTTTTAACTGTGCTAGGGCGTGTAACTTTATTGGGTGGACCTGTCTTTGTGGTGCATGTTGTGTTACTTGTATTTATCGTGGTTCTTTGTTT